CTTGTTTCCATTTAATTCTTGTTTCTACGTGCGCTTCTTGTTACTACTAGTAAGGCACTTGTTCCTAGTAGCGATGCACTTGTGGTCGACGTCTGATTCGATAACTAAAAGCGCTGATTCGGTAACTAAAACGTCTGACTCGGTAACCAAAACGTCTGATTCGGTAACCAAAACGTCTGATTCGGTAACCAAAACCGCTGATTCGGTAACCAAAACCCGCTGATTCGGTAACCAAAACCGCTGATTCGGTAACCAAAACCGCTGATTCGGTAACTATGATTCGATAACCAAAACCGCTGATTCGGTAACCAAAACCGCTGATTCGGTAACCAAAGCCAGGAAACCAAAACCAAAACATTTCCAAAAGAAGACACTGATGTCCTGGGTAACCAAAACCGCTGATTCGGTAACCAAAACCAGGAAACCAAAACCAAAACGTTTCCAAAAGAAGACACTGATGTCCTGGGTAGTAGTAGAGTAGTAGTAGTAGTAGTAGTAGTAGCAGTAGTAGTAGTAGTAGTGGTAATAGTAGTAGTAGTTGTTGTAGTAGTAGTAGTAGTAGGTGGTGGTAGTAGGTAGGTGGTAGTGCCACCAATGCGAAACCCCTCGTGCCGTCCACCATTAATTCTTACTTGAGTGAATGTAAAAGCCCTTTGCATCCACATGGAACGTCATTATCTTGGCCATGGTTCCCCCCCACCCCCGACCCCACACTGCTCCACCCTCCACTCTGTTCGGCCATTTGCTGTTGATACAAATCAACTCATATAAGAATGAATGTAAAATCCTTTTGCATCCACATGGAACGTCATTATCTTGGCCATGGTTCCCCCCCCACCCCACACCCCTCGGGCCGTCCACCATTAATTCCTACTTGAATGAATGTAAAAGCCCTTTGCATCCACATGGAACGTCATTATCTTGGCCATGGTTCCCCCCCACCCCCCACCCCACACTGCTCCTACCCTCCACTCTGTTCAGCCATTTGCTGTTGATACAAATCAACTCATATAAGAATGAATGTAGAATCCTTTTGCATCCACATGGAACGTTATTATCTTGGCCATGGTTCCCCCCCC